CGTGTGTGTATATATATATACATATATATATATACATATATATATATATATATATATATTCCACGGCACTCACCAGGATTCTGCAGATCCAGGCGTTTGCTAGTGTAGTCCTTCAGCACCCATGGGAATACCGGGTATTGCGTGAGGTCATTGAACGACCTGTCCGCAACGGAATTGAGGTACAAGAGGTAGGTGAAGTTGTCGATCTCGCCATCCTGCCACTTCTGGATCTGAGGGGGGGGGGATTAGGGTTTTAGGGTTTTGGCACAAGAATGACTTGTGAAAAGTACGTTGATAGGCGTATGCGTGTGACAGCAACGCTCGCACGGGTGTAGCAAAGGGCACAGAGACACGCAGGTCCTGATTGGATTCACATCTATACACACAATAGATAGTGAGGCAGGGGTGGTGACACACTCGTGCACTACTGTATGTGCTGCAAACTGCTTTATAGTACTGTAATCTTGGGTAGTCCGTCACCCGACACACCAACATCACTCAACCACTCGTACTCTTACACTGCGCGCCCAAGCCACTACACCCCTCGCACCCGCAACACACCCAAGTACGTTCGGTTTAACGGTTTTAAGCCACGCTAACCAACCCGGTGCAACACCTATAGAAACCTAGGCAAATGCGACCCACATACATACCAAACGCGTAGAAAGCTCATTCACCCGAAACAAATACACTGCACACTCCAGCAGATACACTCACACACGTTCCCCACAACATACTCTCTCGGCGAAAGTGCTCTAAGCTAAAAATTTAAGAGCATTTGCGATACACATTCAAGCCGTACTAATTACACATATTTAACATATCATGTTACAAATGCAATACACATCCAGGCTGTACTATGCACACACATCCAACACACCGAGATACAGATACGATCCCCATCCAAGCAGCACTGACCACACACATACAGAAAATACTAATCACACACATGCAGAAAGTACTAACCACACACATGCAGAAAGTACTAACCACACACATGCAGGAAGTATTAACAACACACATCCATCACACCATGTTCTCTCGATTAGACGGTTCTAAGCGCGTCACGCTGGGCTGTCGCGAGAGCAGCACCACGAAGCGATCGCGATCGTTTTGTGCCTCGAATGAAAAGAACAAACTCTTGCTGAGCATGAAGAACAATTCCAGACCCTGCGGATGAATGCAATACACCGCTCAGTTATAGACAGGAGGGATTGTGGGACGGTAGTGTTTTGTTTCCATCGAGAGAGATTGCAACGGCGTACTATTGGACCAGAACTGATTCAGATTGAACTTGGGTGTGAGGAGTGCCCATAACAAACACCCAGTGTTCTATAAATAAAACCCCACTCGTCTGACAACCCAACCCCGTAAGGCGTGTTGGTAAGCAGCAAAGGTCCATTGAAGGATCTCTCTATGGGCGAGGGCAACGACGCCCGTCTCAGGCATCTCTTAACGCACTACAAACTAACATATTAGATACTGGTCACTCTGACCTCGTGCGTGACAATTAGTACCAGAACACTCGAGGGGTCTGACCTGCCTACAGCCCACCCTGGCTCACCTTTTCTTTGAGCAGATAGCGCCTGTTCACCAAGTTCACCAGATCGCCCAGCTTGTACTTCTGCACGGGATCAGCGTGTATGTTGTTGAACGGCTGGAAGTACAGCATAGCATTCGTGAGCACCAACCGCCCTGGATTGGTGGTTAGGGCAGACACTTGCTCGACGTTCACACTCACTACGATGTCCTCGTACAGACTGTGGGGGAGAGGGATTGCGTGGTTGTGTGAGATTTACTCGCGGAACGCGGTTTAGTGCCGAAGGTGTGGTACCCTTAGCAAAAGGAGTATACATTTGTTGATTGTTGGTGCAAAAGGTTTTAGGGTTTAGGTTTTAGGGTTTAGGGTTTCAGCGTTTCAGTGTTTCAGTGTGCGGTGGAAATACAGGCCGAACACGCTGTCTGTTCATGCAAGAATATATGGTGCGCTATGAAAAACCAGGATAAACTTGGCGTGTGCTTGTGAACGTTTAGCAGGCGTTCGAACATAAGATCAAGCATGAGATTCCATAGAAACGTACCTACCGTCAATACTAGAACCAAGCACGCATAGGAATGTATGCTATGCATAGGAAGCCTTGAATCAATTGATACCAAACAGTTTCAAACGCAAGGGCTGCAGTCTACGACAACATACGAACACGTCCAAGGGGATGCGGTGACACACCAGAGCACCAAAGAAAGGACTAGCTGAGCTAAAAAAAGAATGACACATAGGCGAACAACACTCCCGATGTAAACACGAACTTTAAATTTATCTTGTCATATCACTACCACCAGCGCCAGGTGATCGACCCTCGCGCACGAACGGAATAACAGCATACATGTCTTTGTGCCCTTCCAACATAATACTCATTTGCCACAATACCAATACAACACCAGCACGGAAAAGCCGTTGTCGCATACACAGCCGGCGCAACAGTACATGCATCTCTTCTGAGATTGCCCCAAAACCCTTAGATACTCACCTTTCTAGCCAGTTTCGGTCGAATACGGCTTTTCCACGGTGTGCTTCGACCATCTGCTGCAACTGCTCGCCCATCAGTGCGGGGTACAGCGACGAGATGTCCCACAGATCCAGCAACTTCGGCAGGAACGTGTCCAACGACACATAGTTGCTCGAGAACTGGAACACGCATTCGTCCTGCATGAATATGTATGATATATATATAAATATACTGATCACTCTGTGTGTGTGTGTGTGTGTGTGTGTGTGTGTGTACGTGTGTGTGTCTGTAGTGTGTGTGTGTGTGTGTACACGTACGTGTGTGTGTGTGTAGTACGTGTGTGTAGTGTGTAGTAGTACGACGTCGGTGTGTGTGTGTGTGTGTGTGTGTGTGTGTGTGTGTGTGTGTGTGTGTGTGTGT